CTGCCTCCCCTACTCCATTCCTCCCTCCTCTCTGTCATCCTCTTTGTTATTCTTTGCAGAGACTCCTGTAGCTTCAGGGATCTGAAGGTTCCAGCTGTGGTTGGAGATAGAACCTTTTCATAAAGAGACATATAGCCACCTGTCAGGATAGTGAGAGCTATCCAGATCCTGAGGAGAGGTTGGTGGGAAATGGAAGGTGGAAAGGAAAAGTGGAAGCAGGGAGAGTAATGGAGGAGAGGGGGAGGCAGAGATAGAAGGGAAGACATTGCATATCTGAGAGTGAAAAAGGAACAAGAGGAATGGGAGAGGGAGGAGGGAAGGGGGGAGATGTGGGGCAGAAATTAGAGAAGCGGGTTTTCTCAGAGAAGCAGGGAGTCTGTTGCAGCACCTGTGGAAGGGTTTATTCAGGGAGGAAGTTGGGAAGCCAAGGCAAGGGAAGAGGACCTGGAAGGCAGTCGGAAGATTCTCCCTCAGGGTAGCTTTGCCTCCCCATCCTCTCCTCTCTCAGCTTCAACTGCCCACATCCTTCACTTGCTCACTTCAGTCTACAAGGTCTTCCTGCATTTCTAAACGTACAAAATCTCACAATACACATCTCTAAAAATTAGTTACTATTTATTGTGGTTATTTTATTTATTTTATTTTATCTTTTTTAAGATGGTATAGTCCTAATTTACATTATAGTCAAAGGCTTAGTGCTCCAAGAATACACTGGATTTGCTGGAGAAGTCATGAGCCACTCTGAGGACATCTGTGGATTTCCATGCATCTGACCCTGAATGCTGCTTTCTTCTGTGACTGTGGATGCACTGTCTCTGCCCCCAGCTCCACTTCCACCTGTGACTCATACACTCCCTCTCCTCTACTTCCTGCGGCACCAGATACTCCCTCTCTACTAGGTCATTTCACCAGCGTTCAGAATGCTGTCATTTATCTCAATTTAAAATATTCTCTGTAGGCTCTACTTCTTCTCCTTATAATCTCATTTCTCTCCTGTGCTCTAATTCTCTCTCTTTCAAAAATTGTCCATGCGGTCTCCAATTTTTTTGCCTTCCAAAGAAACCATTTATTTAATGAGCACAAATTTCATAAGTACAACTTTAGGAATATAGTGATTCTTCCCATTATACCCGCCCTCCCACCCCACTCCCACCCCACCTCTTCCGCCCTCTCCCATTCCCAGTCCCATTATCCACTCTCTTTTGAACATTTCCGATAAGACTTTTGCCCTGCTGCTTTATAACAACTACTGCCATCCAGTTCACTGGTGACTCTCACGTTGTTAAATCCAATGGCCCATTTCCATTCTCAATCTTAGTTGATCTGTCATCACCAGTTGACAGAGTGGGTCACTCCTTTGTAATTTTTCTTCTCTTGTATCCTAGGACAACACCATTCTCCTCCAAGGCCAATCCCTTCCAAACTTCTTATCTCCTCATCTTGCTGACTTCCTAATATTGGAGTGTCTCCCAGCTCAGTCGTTGGACTTCTCTGTCCATAGTCATTTGCTAGATACTCTCTCCTAGTCTCACGGCTTTGAACATAGCTGTCCCCATTTGAACATTTATGTCCCCAGCATTGAATTATGCACCTGACATCCTCCTTGGGTCATCTGACAGGCATCTTAGACTTAACATGCCCAAAACAGATCTCCTAAACCTCCAATAATCAAGACAATGTCTATTGGGATAAGAATGGACAAATATGTCAGTGGGATGAAATAGAGAGCTTAGTTATCAACCCAGCTTCTATGGCCAACTGATTTTCTTAAACACTTATTTATTTATTTAAAAGGCAAAGATATAGAGCAAGAAAGAGAGAGAGAGAGAGAAATATCTTCCATCTGTTTGTTTACTCCCCAAATGTCCGCAAGGGAAAGGGCTGGGCCTGGCCAAAGCCAGGAGCCAGGAGCTTCATTCAGGTCTCCCATGTGGGTGCAGGGGCTCAAGCACTTGGACCATCTTCTGCTGCTTTCCCAGGCACATTAGCAGGGAGCTGGATCAGAAGTGGAGCAGCCAGGACTTGAACGGGTGCCCATATGGGATGTCGGCACTGTAAGTAGAGGCTTAACCTTCTTCACCACAGCGCCAGCCTCATGGCTGGTTGATGTTCAACAAAGATCCCAAAACAAACCATTGGGGAAAGGAAAGTCTGCTTTTACTTTTGTTTTTTAAGATTTATTTGTTTATTTGAAAGCATTATGGGCAGGGGTGGAGAGAGATGTCTTCCATCCACTGGTTTACTCCTCAGATGGCTGCAATGGCCAGGGCTGGGCCAAGCAGTAGCCAGAAGCCAAGAGCAACATCTGGTCTTAAAAATGGGTAGCAGGGGCCCAAACACTTGGGCCATTCTCCACTTTAAATGGATTGTTTGGACTATGCATTATATTTTGATGAAATTGTAAAAAAAAAAATAAACCTATGAAATTTGTCTTGAGAATAGTTTGATTTAACCAAATATATCCAAAGTATATTACCATCTCAACATGCAATGAAAGTAGAAAGTATATTAAATTTATTGGGATATTATATATATATATATATATATATTCATAGTGCTAAGTCTTCAAAACCTGGTGTGTTGTTAGACCTGTAGCACACCACAGTAGGGACAGCCTCATCCCCAGAGCTCTAGAGCATGAGTGGCAGCCATTCTTGGCACAGGTCTAGAATGCATGTGAGTTAATTCCAAGTTCAATCATTTGGGACTGAAAGATGATAACTGAAGAACATGTTCAAGGAGTGAACCAGGAACTAGTCAAATTGAGCTACTCCTTCTTATTTCTAACGGTGACTAACATTTCTGGATCCCTTAGTATATACAAGGCTGGTGCTCAACCTTCGCATGAATTACTTCTCTTAGTTTTCACAGCAGTTTTACCAGTTAGACCTCCCCCACTCTCAGATGGGAAAATGAAGGCACAAAAGTCAAGTAACTTGGCCATTATGACTGTTGAGTATATTTTCCCTTACACAAAATGATGTGGGAAATTTATAATAACACAAATCACATTTCTCCAGGCTCCTGCACTGAAAAGGAGGGGGAAATAGAGGAGGAAAACTGGATTCCAAGTCACTGAAGGAGGGAAGCTGGTTTAGTTACTTCTGCACCTCTTTCAGAGAGCAGGCGACAAGGGTGCTGAGTGAATGCACGCTGGGTGGGTGAGCAGATAAGGGGGCACAGAGCGGTGGACACATAGGAGGGGACGGTGCTCTGTGTGCAGCCCTCCTCCCCACAATCTTTCCTACATGGGATCACAATACAAAACAAAGTTAATCTCTCCCTTGTTCCATTGCTGATGGTCTTTTCCATCCTGTTTCTATGTATGGGTGCTCCTGGTTAGGTGGGTAAAGGAAGAGACCCTAGGGAGGTAGCATGTCCTACTCCCTGTTCTGCATGGCATTCCAGTGCTGGAAAGAATAGTGTAGGGCTCAAGAGAGCAGAATTGGGCAGACAGGGTTTGATCCCAGGCCCATGCCTACCAGCTGTGTGGCCTTGATCTGTTACTCATTCCTCTTAGTCTCTCTTATCTGTAGACCGGGTGTAAGGCAATATTTATGAGAACTTACTTTGGAGTATAATGCAAGCACAGAGCTTAATTGTGTACTAAATACATTTTCACAGAGTAGCACACCCCACAGTGAGGACTAGAACATCACCAAGACCCCAGAAGCCACTTGCTGTCCCCCACCAGGCACCGTCTCACTCCACACCCCCAGCCAAGAGTAAACTTCATCTCAATTTCTAATTCGATTTTTAACTAGTTTTGAACTTCCTATGGATGAAAACATACACAGTGTGTCTTTTCTGTTTGGTTTCTTGTGCTTAACATCGTGTTTATGAGTCACCTATGTTATTAGGGTTAGTTGTAGTTTAATGTTCTTCATTTTTTTAAAGATCTTATTTATTTATTTGAGAGGTAGAATTATAGACAGTGAGAGGGAGAGACAGAGAGAAAGGTCTTCCTTCCATTGGTTCACTCCCCAAATGGCTGGAGCTGCACCGATTTGAAGCCAGGAGCCAATTGCTTCTTCCCAGTCTTCCATGTGAGTGCAGGGACCCAAGGACTTGGGCCATCTTCTATAGCTTTCCCAGGCCACAGCAGAGAGCTGGATTGGAAGAGGAGCAGCTGGGACTTGAACCGGTGTCCATATGGGATGCCAGCATTGCAGGTGGCAGCTTCACCTGCTACGCCACAGTGCCGGCTCCTGTAGTTTATTAATTCTCTTTATTAAACAGCATTCTAATATGTAAACATAGGACAATTTAATAGCCCATTCTACTGTTGGTGGACATGTAAGTTATTTCCAATATTTGACTTTTATAAAGAAAGTTGCTCTGAACATTCTTGCTGAACTTTTTGGTGGGCAAGGACACTGAGTCACCTAAATGATGGTTGGGTTATGGAATATGAACAACTGTTGGCTATAGGGAGCCTGCCCAACATTTTAACTAATGCTTTTAACCTCACAGTGTAATGAGAATTAATGTGGTCATGGAAAGTGCTCAGTACAATCCTTGTAATATAGGAGCTCCTTAATACAAGTTTAAAAATGTAATGAAGGTATAATACTCCATGAAGCCCAAGCCCCGTAGTGTGTCTAAACATTTCCCTCTGCTTATTCAGTTAGGTTGTTTTCATTGTTTTGTTGTTGTGTATCATGCTACAATGAATGACTTTCTTCATAGCTGTTTTATATTGAAAACTTTGTTTTGGGAAATTGGCAGGGCAGGTTGGATTGACTCGAACTGTATAACTGTATGTGACTGTAAGAACACTAAAGGAGGACTCTGGGGCTCGGTGAGAGGAGTAAGACACGAAGCAAGCCCCTCACGTGTGGTCGGGGTCGGCGGTGTGAAGACAGGGGCCTGTGGGTTTCAGGGAGTGGTGTCTCCCGGAAGACAGCAGGGCAGGGTGGGATGGAGGATGAAATGGCGGTGACTTTAGGGCAGCTGGGGAACCATGACTAATAACCATTAAATGAAGAAGCAGAGAGAAGTCACAAGTGCAAAGATTCACTTTATTCATCCATCTCACCAACATTCGCAAGGTTAAAGCCAAGGAGGGGGGGAGGACCGGGAAGGGAGGGGCTGGAGGACTGCGGTGGGAATGGGTCCACTGAGGGGAGGGAGCGGCGAGGCTGGCCCTCAGGGTCCCTGGCGGTGCCCTGGCAGGCGTCTCGCTCTAGCAGTCACCCCTGTTGAAGCTCTGGACGATCGGTGAGGCTGAGCCTTGGACCACCTCGCAGGTGTACACGCTGTGGCTGTTGTACTGTGCGCTGGTCAGTGACAGAGTGCTGCTCAGGCTGTAGGTATTGTCTTCGGGGCTCTGCGGTGTTTTACTGTTCTCGATGCCGCTCTGTTGGGTGGTGCCATCCACCTTCCAGGTGACGGTGATGTCACTGGGATAGAATTTATTCGCCACGCACACGATGGTGGCTGTTCCAGTTGTCAGCTCCTCCTTAGATGGTGGGAAGAGGAGGACAGAAGGCGCAACTGGATCACCTGAGGAGGGAAGAAGCACAGAGGGCGAGGCTTAGGTACCAGTGGGCATCTCCCCTGGGTGCCATGTGGATGATCACAGAGCGCATTAGGGATGGACAGACAGAAGCAGCCCAAAGCTGTTGCAATGGGGCAGCGAGCAGACGTAGAATCTGGATGACTTTGTTTCCCTCCGGGTTCCGCCTGCCCCTTCAGAAAGTTCTATGTTGTTGTGTTTGAACTCTCTGACCCACTGGGAGGCCTCTTTGTTGTTGCTCTACTCTGCCCCTGCAATGACTCAGTGATCGGGGAAAGAACACAGCCCATTTCATCTGACCCCTTTGGAGTTTAGAAGTAGGAACAGGTCCCGGCCCTGTGTCCTAGGAGAAGACGGGGACGGCGGCAGAGCAGGCAGCGAGCGTCTAAGGGGAGCCTCTCGGCTTTCATTTCCCTGGTCTCCCCCAGGACCGTGCAGTGATATCAGGACTCTCTGGGCCTTCCTTGGCGAGGCCAGGCCAAACCCACCCTGCAGAGTGGGCCTCCAGCCTGTGTCTGCACCCACCCCTTCAGCGCCTGGGGTCATGCCAGTGACTCTCCTACCGTCTCGCAGGCCTCACAGTGAGACCTGCGCCTGGCCGCCTGTTCCCAGGCCAGCCTGTTTGCAGGAGGACTCGGGAGGGGTCAGCTGTAAGCTGGGCCACCTGCCTCGCAGGAATTGGTGAGCTTCACTCCTGACCGCGGGCAGCTGCCAGATGGCCCCTGGGAAACCCTGCTCTGTGGGGAGTCAGGGCCTAGGGTGGGAGAGCACCGTTAAAATGAAAAAAATCAAGAATCCTTCCTGCGACAGTCAGCAGACACTCGGACAGACTTATACAAAGCTAACCCCCATGCTAACCAAGTAGTTCAGTGTAAGACAGTGAACTTTCCTGTTTTATGTTCCTCTTTGAATCTCCATGATTAGTGCCCCCCCCATAACTGTATACAGTGGACTTGGCAGCACAATACTGTGATCGAGCCCCTGAGCAGGGAAGAGTGGTCTGTGAAGACCTTCCGCCTGGGCAGTCCTGGAGAGCTTTACATTTTCCATCTGGCGTTCACATCTTAAACAATTAGCACTTTAATATAAAAATTATTTCAAGACGTCTCATTAGCTTTTAATAGAGTTTTAAAGTCTCTAAAAGTTTTTAAAAAGCTCTTTAGAGTGCTGAGGGCTCCCTTACTTATCTACACTGATTTCTTCCCCTTTGAGTCATTCAGTATAGAGCAATTTAATCTTTTCATCTCTAAATCCATTTAACTTTTGCAACCGACGACAAATCTCAAACCTACTCATTTACCCACTTTTATAAAATTTTTCTTAAAAGTCAATCTGGCCAATTAGAGCAAAATTTCAGACAGGAATAGGAAAACGGTACTTACGTTTGATCTCCAGCTTGGTTCCTTTTCCAAAGGTGATCCACAGAATTAGCTTTATTGCTTTCCCTCAACAAAAACCTCTGACTGCTCCCAAGCTCGTCAGACTGACAGACAGACAGAATTTGGCCACTTGCTAGCCTGCTAGCCCTTTGCTCTCTTCTTGAGATGAACGGATTTTCTGCTCCCTACCCATCCATGTTTTTGGAAAAATTCCATTCCCTTCCGGATTGACCTTAACTCATCTCCCACAAACTTAAATCCCACATTTACCAACTCTGTAAGGAAGACTGGGAAAGTGCACTTACGTTTGATCTCCACCTTGGTCCCCGCACCGAAAGTATTAGACACAGTGGTTCCTCACAACCTCCCTCCTGTACAATAACTGAGTTTTCCTTTCTGACCATCAGGCAAGGCTCTGCCCGGAACACAGCAGGATGCACCCCAGTGAATTTCTAAAGCTCTCAAATTTCTCCCTCCCTCTCTCTCTCTCCCTCTCTTTCTCAATGACTGAGTCTTGCTCTTCGTAGACAATATGCAGTCCTTGCTCAAGCTTGCCACACACTTCATCCCTGCATTGCCTGGTGGATGCTCCCGATTGGTTTCAGAGTCAGCTTAGGGATCACTTCACAGACACAGAGGTCACACGACGCAGACAACCAGAGAGGGAACGTTCGGATTTTACTCACGTTTGATTTCCACCTTGGTGCCAGCTCCAAAAGTCAAACACAGTGACAACTCCCCATTGCCTCACTGTACAAAAACCCTTCTCACCCAAGGGGAACCGAGCCCTGCCTCAGCTCTGAGGCCTAACTCCCTTTCTGAACAGGTGTGGAAGCCCTGAGGCTTCTCTGATGCAGAATGCTTGTTTCCTTAGGTGAGCTCTAAGATCCTGGAAGACAACATATTTATGTCTACATAGTATGTTTATATATGTATGTCTATATATTATTATATTATATTATATGTTATGTTATGTTATGTCCTTTCTGCCACCACTACCCCCTCCAGAGTGCTTGTTATTTATTTTTTGGAAAGTAGGCTAAATGTGAATTATAAAGAAAAAGACACAAAAAATAATAATAAAAACCTCTTAATTGAACTTTCTCCTAGGGTGGAGTTGGGAGGGTTTGCAAATGATACACATTTTATTTCAGTGGAATTGGGAACTCATCGGTGTCTCCCTGTTAATAATAGTAAGGAAAGTCTGTCTGCCCATTTGAATCCCTTTATTGCCGTGGTGTTGTTTCGGTGTGGGGACCAAGCTGGAGATCAAACGTAAGTGCACTTTGCCAGTCCTTTTCCTTACAGAGTTGGTAAAAATGCATCTCATATGAAGACCCCCCCATCATTGACGTGTAGTTTGGAATTTAGCTACAGTGCAAAACAAAAATGAAGATCAACAGACAGAAGAGCAGCCATGGTTGACTGGTCTGCAGTCCAGGTCTCATTGAGCCAAACCAGGCGCCTGCTGTCTTGGGAGCTGCCATGGAATCCTGAAGTGCCGCGAGGTTTCTGTGGACACTCCACCCAGGACCCTGGAGACGTCGCTTTGTTTTGAGTTCTGCTTCATTTATTGTAGTCTCGCTTCCCCTCTAACTTCTCATCCTCACCCACTCTATATATTGCCCCCGCCATCCTGGACACTGTATACCTTCAGTGGCCTCCAGTTTTTTACAAAACACTCCCTCTGAGTGTTACCTACCTGAATTAGCCTGTAAACAGCTGTCATTCAAGATTCAACTAGAAACACGTTTTGCCAGATTATACCCAAGCAGGTGGCCTGATTTTGCAGGGTACAGAGACACTGGTCACTGGGCCTAGAACCCCTAATTGCTCTTGTCTGCTACCAGTGAGTCTTGACCAGATGAGGCTGTAAGCTATCTAATGCTTTGTTTGCCTTATATTTGGGAGACTTGGTCCAACATCCTCACTTTTCAAATGAGAAATAAAAGAACAATTGAAAATCAGAGACCAGAGATGACAAACTATAACAGATCAAAGACCAATACTGTCCATTGCAATAGAAAGTTGTACAGCAGAAATTGTGTATGTAATTCCTATGATTGGGGTAGATTTATGTGATTCTGTTACTGGGAGCTTTGCCAGTTGCCTTGAATAGCAGAGTGGGCAGGAGTTCCCACCAGAAGGTGGGGAGAGAAGAATGGAGGTGGAGGAAGAGAGCAGGAAGAGGTTGACACCTGGAATGAAGTGAGCAGCAGAGCTGATTGCCAACGCAGTCAGCTTCCATCCCAAGGGGGATGGGAAGTCGTTTTTTCTCTGAAGAGCCGGGAGCAGCATCCATCACAAGGGCTGGCATTTACTGGCACTTACAAAGTGCAGATATTGTATGTGAATCGCCACACTTTTCTTCTCACCCAAACTTCATGAACTAGAACCCAGCATTATCTCCTATCTTGTAGGAGAGGAAATGGAGTGCAGACAGGTCCAGAACTGGTGTATGATGACAAGTGCAGTATCTAGAACCTGAACTCAGAGCTCGTGTACATAGCTGAGCTTTGCAGAGGTGTCCCCTAGTTGGAGCAGGGACATGGCAGAGGATGCAGAGGGGAGACAGCTCCTTAGCCTGGCCCAGAGTTGGAAATGAGTGAGTAAGTGACCCCAGATGTATTCTCAAGACTGCGCACTGAAATGTTGAAAAGGTAAAAAAATGGAAAATGACTAAAATCATAACAAATAGGAATTTGCTTAAACTATGTATTTATTTGAGAGGCAAAGTTACAGACAGAGAGAGGGACAGAGAGAGAGAGAAAGAGAGAGAGAGAGAGATCTTCCATTCACTGGTTCACTCCCCATATGGATGCAATGGCCAGAGCTATGCCGATCTGAAGCCAGGAGCTCAGAGTTTCTTCTGGGTCTCCCATGTAGAAAAGGGGCCTAAGCACTTGGGTCATCTTCTTTGCTTATAGCTTTCCCAGGCTATGAGCAAACTGGATCGGAAGAGGAGCAGCCAGGATATGAACCGGGGCCATATGGGCTGCCAGCGCCACAAGTGGAGGCTTAGTCTACTATGACACAACACTTGGCCTTTAAACCAGTTATGATAGAGCCTTACAAAGATGCACAAAGCACCAATGAGATAAAGAAGTTTTCTCTATGGTCACATGGAAAGGAAAGTGTTTGTAAAGATACAGATCACTGAACAGTACAGATGGTGTGATATCATGATCCCATTTAAATTAATTGTGAATATAAATATAGGCTAATTCTTAAAAGGACATAAAATACACTCAGAAGTAATCTGGGGTCACAGAGGAGGAATAATGAATTATCTGAACACATTCATTTTATGGTCCTCAGAAACCATAAGGCAAAAGCAATTTTGCAAAACAACAACAACAACAAACAAACAAACAATAAAACAGTAGCTGGTGTTGTGGCTTAGTGACCGCCTATGATGCCAGTACCCTATATGGGCATCCATTGGAGTCTTGGCTATTCCACTTCCAATGCAGTTCTCTGCTAATGTGCCTGGGGAAGCAGTGGAAGATGGCCCTAGTCATCGGGCCTTGCCACCCTCGTGGGAGATAGGGAAGGAGTCCCTGGCTCCTTGCTTCTGACTGGTCCAGTTCTGGCTGTTGTGGCCACTTAGGAAGTGAACCAGTGGATGGAAGATTTCTCTCTCTGCCTCTGCCTCTCCTTCTCTGTAACTCTCAAAAAAACAAATAGATCTTAAAAAAAAAAAAAACCTTTAAAAAAGACAAAAACAGTTAAGCTCTGATCTTATCAAATGGCATTCTCAATATTTCTTGCTAGGTTTGCATGTTTTAATTTTTTTAAAAAAAGATTTATTTATTTACTTGAAAGTCAATTACACAGACAGAAGAGAGGCAGAGAGAGAGGTCTTCCATCTGCTTATTCACTCCCCAAATGGCCGCAATGGCTAGAGCTCTTCCGATCTGAAGCCAGGAGATTCTTCCGGGTCTCCCAAGAGCATGCATGGGCCTAAGGACTTGGGTCATCTTCTACTGCTTTCCCAGACCACAGCAGAGTGCTGGATCGGAAGTGGAGAAGCCAGGACTCAAACTGGCACCCATATGGGATGCTGCTACACCACAGTGCCAGGCCCTGCATTTTTTTATTTTAAGAAAATTTGTTTCCCCAAAAATAAAATGTACTGCAGTGATAAAATACTTAATAGAATCAACTCCTTCATCTACGAAAGGGGGATGTGACCTGTGCTAGACACAGGCCTCTGCCTGCACACTCTACGGTGACATGTTAACTGCATTACAGTCGTAAAAGCTGGGCCAGAAGAGGAAGACGTCTTCCCGGGAATCAGGGCTGAAATGACACCAACCTTGGCCCTTGCGTGGGATCTCAGCGTACAGTGTTTAAAAGGCTGCACACACGTGCATGAGTTTCCATCGCCAGTGAAATGCTTTTCTCCAGTCTTCAACCTGCAAGTGCACAAAGGGCAGGAGCTTCTCTGGTTCTGCACAGGAGAGGTGGGGGCCTGGTCGTGGGCCTGGGAAAGACGAGGCTGTTCCTGAGTAGACTGGAGGCCTGCTATGGACGGGGCAGTGACGGCTGTGCTGAAGCAGTAGTTGTTACTAGTAAAACCCAGCATCGACATCTACGTTCTTGGTCACACTCAGTGGTTATCCACAGGAACGGGTGTCGTGATGGGTCCCCGAGAAGTGGTCGAGATCTCAGTCTGTGTGTGGTTCGTTACTGGAGGGGAGGGGTATCTCAGAAGCATCTGTGAGGCTCTGCTGTCCTACCAAGCGTCCGTCATGGGCACAGACAAGATCAGTTTACTGAGGAAAGGCACCGTGTCCCTAGGATGTCTGCGGGGTCCTTGGCTTTAATGTGGAAGAGTGATGGGAACAGAAGTCCTTGGGGAGGAGTCCAGCAAACTCCTCTTGGAAGCTGCTTCCCACTTCACCCCCAGCCAAGTTATCTTCTCCGGAGAACTTCTAAGCTGCTCCTGGAAGAGGGAGAGAGGGAGGCTGAAGTGGGGGGAGAGGGAAGGAGAAGGCGGGAGAGCCTGAAAGAGAAAGCGTAGCTGCAGACCATCCTGACCGCTGTGGGTAGGTCATCTTAGCAGGTCCCTCAGCTGTACCTCTTCACAACACCCAGGATGAGCCGGCCTCTCTAGGGAGGGGCCCCTGACGGCAGCAGCACGCAGTGAGTCACCCAGTGTGTCAGGGATGAGGGAGCACCACTGTGCCCTCTGCAAGCCCTGAGGGTCGGCAGCTTCCCCGCCTGGCTCTGGACTCCTGCGTCTGCTGTCCACCTTCCAGTCTGTGGCTCAGCGTTCCTCTGTTTTCTTTCCCAGTTCGTCAGCACGGTGCACTCCAAGGCAGGTGATTCTGCTCCATGCGGCTCTTCCTTACTCCTGACCCTCTTCAGTAGATACAAGCGGACAGGCCATGGAGGGGGCCACTCTGTGATCCACATCCAGTGGGGCTTAGCTTGGCACTGGTTGATCGTTCTTCTTCTGGCCACTGTGTCCTGCATGGATGTGCTCCAGGCTCCCCGGAGGCGTGGCAGGCCCAGTAGCTGCTGAGAAAGAGCAGGACGGAGGAGTTCCTGGAGGAAGAGGCTCTGCTTTGCCACATCAGGGCTGCGTCTGTTTCTGCTGTCTCCGGAGGAAGACCTGCTGGCAGGAGCAGAGTCCTCAGCAGTGAGCAAACACACGCACCACAGACACCACCCAGCGTTCTGCTTGCTCTCTGGACCACGTGGATTCTCGGCTTGTTTCCGTGAGCACACAAAAGGCCGCAGGTGCTCCAGTGGAAGAGCCGACAGCAGGGACTGTGTCAGGGCTTGCTACCAGCAGGGACTCAGCCACCGAGATTTACATACCATGGGCTGTGGTTTTGCAGAGTGAGGAGCCCCTCAAACTCTGCCCTGCTCGCTCCTCCCCATCTGCCTGCCTCAGCCCCTTTGGTCTTAGAGCAGAGAAAACCACTGGGCCTACTACTGTGTCGAGCTAGCTCTGGGTGCGGTGGTGAGATCTATGGATTTAGCCTTGGTTCCTCATAGCCCCAGGGCCCTGCTAACCCTGGGAAGAGCCTAGAGTTCTAAACCTAGGAGGGAGGGTAGGAAGCAGACCAGCCCACAGAACAACGAAAAACACCAACATTGAACAAGGGAAAATGCACAAAACAGAAACCAGTGTGGGCAGGCGGCCACAGGAAAAGTCTGTGGCTTTGCTTCCTGCACTTGGTGGCAGCAATGTTCACCACATTGCAACAAGGGATGACTGCAACTTAAAAAAAAAAAAAAAAAAAGTCTAATATAATGAAGGTCTCGCTCTTTTGCTCTCCAAAATCTCCTTTGCAGAAGGAGAAATATCACGTGAGAATTCATGTATTTTTTGCTTGGAGAATCACCAATGGTTCTATTAGAAGAATAAGATGTTGAGGAAAAAAAAAGAAAGATTTAAATCCTGTGTTTGAATTGGAGAGACTGGAATCTAGAAATGTTTATTTGTCTACTGCAAAAACAGGAGGCGCTCTTGAAGCAGCCAGAGCTGGTTTTAAGCACGTGGGAGCCGTCAGGGCTGGGCCAGGGGGTGAGGGGGTCTGGCAGGTGGGACAGCACTGGTCCCTCTGCTGGCACAGGGAGCTCAGCCCTCCTGCCCCAGCCCTGTGAACAGTGATGGCAGCAGAAAGGGGTAAGGCTAACAGGCATTCGATACCGCATGTAAACTTCCACCCAGTAGAAGGGAAAATGCACAAAACCGAAACCAGTGTGGGCGGGCGGCCGCAGGGAAAGTCTGCGGCTTCGCTTCCTGCACTTGTGGTGGCTCTGCGGTCCTGCCTGGACTCTGTGCTGATGGCTCGGAGCCCCAGCATGGCCGCACAGCTCTCGGAGAAACCTTTCCTAGACAGGTGGGTACGATGAGCTGTGGACAGGTGGGTACGATGAGCCATGGACAGGTGGGTACCATGAACAGCTGCTGTGGAGAACCCCAGGAGGCGGCTCTCGAGGTGGACCTGAAGCTTTTGATCGCAAGGGTGTTAGAAGAACTTGTAAATCATATTCAAGAGCCCCAGGTGTGGATGCAAGGGGATCCAAAGGAAAGCAGAGCACAAGCGTCAGAGCTGTGCTGGGAAGGCACGAGAGCTCCAGAAAACCGACCAGGTTGCCCCGAGCGTGTGCAACGACGAGATGGGCGCATTAGCGATGCAGCGGCCAATCTGTGACCCTGCAAGATTGGCCAGCTCTAGGTGCTGTGGCCATTTGGGGAGTGAACCAGCAGATGGAAGGTTACTGTCTCTGCCTCTCCCTCTCTGAAACTCTGCCTTTCAAATAAATAAATAAATGTTTAAAAAGAGAACGGAGCACGCCGCTGTGGGGGAGTGTACTCTTCCTCCAGCGCCCAGCTGCTGTGGCACTGCCAGGGGACAGCAGCACTGTTAAGGCTGGAAGAGACCTTAACTGTTTGGCCCTCTTAAAAAAAGATTTTATTTATTTATTTATTTAAGAGGTAGAGTTACAGACAGAGACAGGGAGAGACAGACAGGTCTTCCATCTACCGTTTCACTTCCCAAAATGGCTGCAATGGCCGGAGCTGGGCCAATCTGAAGCCGGGAGCCAGGAGCTACTTCTGGGTCTCCCACACATGTGCAGGGACCCAAGGACTCAGGCCATCTTCTACTGCTTTCCCAGGCCACAGCGGGGAGCTGGATCAGAAGAGTAGCAGCCGGGACATGAACTGGTGCCCATATGGCATGCCAGTGGCCCCAGTTATTTGGCTTTTATAACTAAGGGAATCAAGTCTCCCTTAACAAAACTGGGGTCATGGGGACACAGCCAGGATCCAACCCCCTGCTTTGTAAAGGCCCAGTTCAACAATTCCCACTGAATGGGGCTGCATCATGCAGCCTGGAGAAAGCATCAGATGGGTGCAGGAATGCTCTTGAGGCTACTAAGACTGTTAGTTAAGGACACTGACAGCCACTGTAACTGGTGTGGACCCGAAGTCCGGATTTAATCCGTGAGAAATCTGCTCTTCTCTTGCATGAAGTTTCAGTTGGCAGTGGAGAGTGGGCTTCTGTCTGGTGCTGTGCCTCAGAGACACAGGCGGGCAGAGGCCATCTTCAGCCTGGGGCTTCCACGGTCAGTCGCAAGACGGCTGAGTCTGAGAGAAACGTGGATCTCACAGTCAGCGCCATGGAATCAGCTTGGAAATGCAGCCCAGAATGGAGACTCTGGGTAGGAAGAGGACACACACACTTGCACACACAGAGTAAAGGTTTCCATCGCTGCCAAAGAGATTTTGGACCATAAGGAGAGGGTGAAGTCCGAGTGAGCACAAACTCTCCAAGTGGGTCATGCAGCCACTCAGGTAATGTGATGTGTATCTTACTTCCTGTGCCCTGCCTCACATCATGAAGCTATTACTGATAGTCTAATCTTCTATGAGGCGGGAGAAGCTTCAGGGGAGTGACCTCATCCAGGCTGCTGGGTCTTCTCCATTGTACCTTGAATTCTATTTGCTATGTCAAATTGAAGTTACTTGGGAGATATAATTTAGTTAGGAAAATATTTTAATAAAAAATTTGGGAGAGAGAGGGAGATATCTCCTATCTGCCGGCCCATCCCCCAAACGTCCACAATGGCTGGGGATGGGTCAGGACAAAGCCAGGAGCTGGGACCACAACCCAGGTCTCCCACGCCACCCAATTACTGGAGCCATTGTGGCTGTCTCCCAGTGTCTGAGCAGAAAGCTGGAGTCGGGAGCCAGTCTCATAGATTCCCATTTTTCACTGGTGTTTTTACACCTATATTTGCATGATTTCCCCAAGAATTTTGTGCTCTTCTCTGAAGAAAAGTTGTGTGATGGGTGGGCTTCTGGTGCAGCTGTTGAGACGCTCCTCGGGTGCCCACTGCCGTGTAGATGGCCCGAGTCCGAGTCCCAGCTCCTGCTCTTGATCCCAGGTTCCTGCCAGTGTGCACCCAGGAGGCAGCAGAGCATGGCTCTAGCAGCTGGGTCCCTGCCACCCGCGTGGGAGAAAGGGTTGAGTTCCTGCTTCCTTTCTTTGGCCTGGCCAGCCCAGCCATTGTGGGGATATCTGGAGAGTGAACAGTGAATGGGCTGTCTCTGTGTGTCTGTTTCCATGTCTTTCAAATATATAAAATTATAACAAATTAAAGTTTCTTTCTGAACTTCTGCTTTTTATATGTGAAGTGGAAGTTTTTGGACGGATGCGGTATACATGTCTTTCTGGCTTTAAAAACCTGAGATGCTTGTCAAACAGGGTGGCTGAAGAGCGGTGCATAAATTTGACCAGCAGAGGGCAGCAGCAGGTGCTCATTCCTTTTAAAAAGTTACCTTCTAACTTCACCTGTCAACTGCACATTGAGCAGTGTTTGGGCTTTTTTTTTTTTTTTTTTAACAACCAGCCCTACAAGATTTTATAAATAATTTTTATAAATTATTTATCTATTTATTCATAAATAATTTTAATGTTACATTTTTAAACTGAAAAGTCATTCTTAAAACACTGTCTTGCCTCTGGACCATCTCTTGGTTCACTCCTACCTTGGAGGCCACGTCTGCTGTCTCAAGCGCTGGCTCCTTCCTGTCTCCTTGTCTTCTGTACAGAGTTAACTGCTATGGGTTAGTCTGTCCTCATCTGTTACACCCCTCCAACTTGAACGCCGAATTAATCAAGGTTTTTGTTTTGAGAACAGAAGTCAGCTTTAACAGAAATAGAAAAGGAGGTTAAAAGTAGAGGACTGATCAGAGCAGGAACAGTAGTTATAGCTGGTAGTTCACAGAGACACTGGGAGGGGTGGAGAGCCAGGCCCCGGCTGAGCACCCTTGACAGTGCTGCTGGGCCAGTCCAGGAGCGCAGCTGTGCTCTGTCCATGTCTGGGGGTGTACCCATGCATGTGGGGCTGCAGGGGTACTGCCGTCATCACCACTGGTGCACTCTGCCCGCCATTGGTGGTCTTGCTGCTACTGCTGTCGTCAGAAGGAGCCTTCTCACTGAGTTTCTCATTAGAGGGAAGGGAAGTGAACCCTTGGCTGCACAGTGTACCACAGGGGACAGCGTGAAGCCATGCAGCCTCACTGAACATCTTCTTGGACTGCTCATTTTACTTGAAGTTTGCATGCAAATATTTTATGTTAAAATTCACACACGCACACATATAGAAGGCACAAGTTGTGTTATTTGTTATGAGAAAAAGACACAACTTAAAAAAAGAGCAGCTTTGAACTGCACAAAAAGTAGCAGAGTGTGGGGGCCGGTGCTATGGCACAGTGAGTTAAAAAACCCAGCCTGCAGTGCCGGCGTCCCATAAGGGTTTCCTTGGGCCCCTTCACAGGCGTGGGAGACCATGAAGAAGCTCCTGGCTCCTGGCTTCGGATCAGCCAGCTCCGGCCATTGCAGCCAATTGGGGAGTGAACCAGCAGATGGAAAACATCTCTCTCTCTCTCTCCTTCTCTCTCTCTGTAACTCTGACTTTCAGATAAATAAATAAATCAAAAAAAAAAAAAAAGGTGCAGGGAAGAAGAAGGTGTGTATTAACTTTCCTTTGTGGGCTTGAGAACAATGAGCCCCTAACATAGCCTCCTAATGGAGTGCAGCTGGAGTGCTCACAACAGTCAAGTCACATAGAGATTCTGTACAGCCGCTGTGCTGGGCTTTGCACAGAGAGAGTGGTGTGAGAAGAGGAAAAGAGCTCAGATTAGGAGCTGAAGAGCCTGCTTTAGTCTCAGCGCTGCTGAGCGGGAGAAGACCCGGTGCTCTGGCCTCCTGTTCCCTGTGTCTAGGTGGGAGGGACAGAGGGCTTCCCAGGTTCCTTTTGCTGTCAGGCTCTGTGTTATGGGGGTGGAAAAGGTGGAGGAGCAGTGTTGCTGGGAGCTGCAGAGCATCAGAGTGGACAGCAGCGGGCGGGGGAGGTGGAGCAGCCAGGTCTCCAGTCAGCGCCCATGTGGATGCTGGTGCTCCCTGTGGCGGCTTCGCTTACTGCACAAGGCCGGCCCACCCTATCCACAGTTGTGAGGGCATAATGCCACTTCCCACCATGTCCTCCCTCCTTCCTCACTCTCACCCCACTCCTCTTCATTTTTTATTTGTCTTTTAAATTTTACAATGACATACTTTCCATTTACTTTATAATAAACCCTCCACTAAACAAAGAATTCAACACAAAGTAGCAGAAAATCCACTGTTCCTCAAGAGTCTAGACAAGGCCTTGAGTCTCAATTCTCCCAGTCCCTCTGTCACTACCAGACCTGAGGTGCACTGGCGCCCCCTCTTGTTCACAGGTGGAATTGTTCAGTTTTCTTTTTTTTTTTTCTTTTTTTTTTTTTTTAAGATTTTATATATTTTATTTGAGAGTTAGAGTTACAGACAGTGCTAGGCAGAGACAGAAAGAAAAGTCTTCCTTCCATTGATTCACTCCCCAAATGGCCGCAACGGCCAGAGCTGCGCCGATCCGAAGCCAGGATCCAGGCGCTTCTTTTGGGTCTCCCACACAGGTGCAGGGGCCCAAGGACTTGGGCCATCTACAGTGCTTTCCCAGGCCATAGAGAGAGCTGGGCTGGAAGTGGAGCAGCCAGGACTCCAGCCGGCGCCCATATTGGATGCCGGCGACGCAGGCGGAGGATTAACCTACTGTGCCACGACATTGGCCCAGAAATTATTCAGTTTTCAATCCTTGATAGAGCAGTTCTTCATTCAAACCAAAATCAAATAGAAAATTCGCATTGCATGGAAACAATACTGGCTCCATTGTTTGCACAGGACTGACAGTTTAACAATCTCCTAGGCATAGTGTAATTAGATAAAAACCCAACAGAGCCCATATCTCGTAGATCTCTCATTTTGTGGGCAGG